ATTACATGCATTAATGTATTATTAATTCTGTATGTGAAATTACCTTTCACATACACCGTGTGTATGGATTTCCAAAATATTTGAAATGTGAAAGGCATCTCTACAGCTACTTTTTATATCCTGGGCTACAGTTTAGAACTCAGTCACTTGACATTTCAGGGGGAATGTGTAATTAGATATATGACTGGGAAAGTAGCAAGATAAGTTGTTTCTGGAGAATTCAAGCTAAGTCCTGTCAAAAGCACCTAAAGCACAATAATAAAAAGAAAGCATACCATTAACATCACCACACGTAGTCAGAAGTTTGGTCTTGCTCTCTGAAATAAAATGCTTAGAAATTAGTGAAGTAGTTTCTACTTATAAAGATAGGGAAGAAAAGTGTTCAAATGTAAAAGGGGAGTTCTGATGAACTAATTATTAAAAGTTGTGCAATTTTTATGTTTAATATATCTGTTAAAAACCCATATGAATTCATTGTTAATGATACTTAATTCTACCTGGACTCTAATTGAAAATGTCCTTTTTGAACCATGCTTCTTATTTTGTGTTTTGTTATGTGTGGTAAGCTGATAAATATAAATTAATATCTAAAGAACAAAGTTATCAATCCCAAAGATTATACAGAAAGGCAAAAGACCCATAATAGTCAACATAATATTGATGAATAAGAAAAAGTCAGCAGACACTACCTGACTTTAAGAATTGCTATAAAGCTACAGTAATCAGGGTTACTAGGTGATGGTGAAAAATAGACAAACAGATTAACCAAATAGGTAAAGAGCCCAGAAACAGACCTACACAAATATTGTCAATTAATACTTGATGAAGAAGCAAAGATAATACAATGGAGTAAAAAACTTATTTTCAACAAAATAGCACTGGAATTTCAGGATATCAGCATACAAAAAAATGAATCTACACGCAAACCTAACACCTTTCACGAAAATTAACTGACACTAGATCACAGATATAAATGTAAAATGCAAAATTATAAAACTCTTAGAAGATAACTCATAGGAGAAAAATCTCCATAACTTTGTGTTTGGCAATGACTTTTTAGACATAATAGGAAAAGTCATGATCTATTATATAAAAGAAAAAAATGACAACCTGGATTTCATTAAAAATAATAAATAATATTCTGCAAAAGGCAATGTCATGAGAATGAGAAGACAAGTCACAGACCGGGGGAAAATAAGTCCAAAACATATAGCTGATAAAAATGTTACCCAGAATATATACAACTCAACAAGAAAAGTAACAACCTGGCTAAGAACTCGGTCAAAGACCTTAAGAGACATCTCAATAAAGAAAAGGTACAGATGGCAAACAAGCGCATTAAAAGACGCTGGGCCAGCCCTGGGTGGCTGGGGGGCGGAGGAGGTTGGGAGGCTCTGGAGGCAGGTGTGCAGAGGCAAACTTCATTATTTAAACTTTTAAAAATATATTCTATTTTTATCGTATGTCATCAGAGAAATGCAAATTAAAATAACTACAAAACATCACCACATACCTATTAGAATAGGCAAAACCCAGAACACTGGGAACATAGAATACTGGTGAGGATGTGGAGCTACAGAAACTCGCATTCATTATTGGCGGGAATGTAAAAATGGTGCAGACGCTTTGCAGGACAGTTTGGAAATTTCTTACAAAACTAAACATGCTCTTATATCCTAAGATCCAGCAATCATACCTTGCCATTTATCCAAATGACCTGAAAACTATGTCTACCCAAAAATCTGCACACAGGTGCTTACAGAAGCTTTATTCCTGATGGCCAAAACTTGGAAACAACAGATGAGTGAATATATAAATTGGTATATCCAGGCAATGGAATATTATTTCCCACTAAAAGGAAATGAGCCGAAACCCGTTTGGCTCGGTGGATAGATCATCAGCCTGTGGACTGAAATGTCCCAGGTTCGATTCTGAACAAGGGCATGTGCCTTGGTTGAGAGCACATCCCCAGTAAGGGGGTGTGCAAGAGGCAGCTGATTGATGATTCTCTCTCATCGATGTTTCTAACTCTCTATCCCTCTCTCTTCCTCTCTGTAAAAAATCAATAAAATATATATTTTTAAAAATGAAATGAGCTATCAAGCCATGTAAAGACAAGGAAAAATCTTTAAAGTATATTTTAAGTAAAAGAAGACAATATAAAAGGGCAACATACTTTGATTCTTGTATATAACATTCTAGAAAAGGATAAACTATGGAGACAACAAAAAGGTCAGTTCTTGCCATGTATTAATATTAATAGGGAAAGAGGGGTGAGTAGGCTGAGCATAGAGGATTTTTAGGGCAGTTAAACTACTGTTTTGTGATACTTTATTGGGGGCTATATGTCATTGTACATCTGCCAAAGCTCACAAAATGTGCAAACTAAAAGTGAACTGTAGTGTAAACTATGGATTTTGGGTGATAATAACATATCAATGAAAATTCATCAATTTTAACAAATGTATGACTGTGAAAGATGTAGATAATGAGGGAAGCTATGTGTGTTTGGGGAGGCATGGGTATTTTGGAAATCTTTCTCATGCTTTTGCTGTGAACCTAAAACTGCTATTAAAATAGTCTATAAAAATAGTACTAATTCAGAGTAATAGATTTTCTAATTAGTTTCCTATAATCAGGAAGTACTTCAAAACATTTTTTAAAAAATCTTAATGAGGGGGACTGTGTGTGTCAGAGAGTGTGCACATGTAAAACAGCATATTTTAAAGTTTTTCTCTGAATCAAATGAGATTGACATTTCAAAGAATAATATATATTCTTAGCATAATGCATTATTAAGTGATTCTGTGTTAAGAACACATTAAATAAAAAGAGCACTGTTTTTTCAAGTTGTAATTAACAGAAATCTTTGTAACCAAAAAGTATTTTTCCTCCAAATGGGCATATTTTTATCTCATTTTGTTGAAACTTTGTGAAACATCAGGAGAATGAATGTTGAATAAACATGATCCTATTTAAAAAAGAGGAAATATGCTAATTGACCATCATGCCCTCACAAAAGGTGGCACCCACATCCAATAAGAAAGGAATATGCTAATTGACTGCCACACCCTCAAAAATGGCAGCGCCCACAGACACAAGATGGCAGTGCCCAGTCCCCTCAGCCCAGGTGGGGCCAGCAGCTCTGCACACTTACCTCTGGAGGCCCCCAGTCTCCTCAGCCCTCCAGCTGCCCAGGGCTAGCCTGAGACACAGACAAGCCTCAAATGTAGGCTTCTTAGTTGACGCCCAAGGTGCAGGCAAGCCTTGGATGGTGGCTGTCCAGGGATGGCCCAAGGCATAGGTAAGCCTCAGGTTGCGGCTGCCTAGCCATCCAGGGCCGGTCGGAGGTGCTGGCAAGCTTCGGATAGTGGTTACCCAGCCACGCAGGGCAGTCAAGGCTTGCGCTGCCAGCAGTGGCAGCAGCAGAGGTGTTATGGGGGCATCACCCCTGAACCCACCCCTGAGGGTTCCCAGTCTGTGAAAGGGGGCAGGCTGGGCTGAGGAACCCGCGCCCCCCTCCAGTGCATGAGTTTTTCATGCCCTGGGACTCTAATATAAGAATGCAATTGTGCTCAGAATAATACAATCCAAGAAACTATCTTTAGACAGAACAAGGAAATGGTAAATATTTGAGGAGAATATCTCAGTAACAAAACAAAATGAAAATACTAGCCCAGACCTAATTATAGTAGATGAAGGAAACTATTTTTAACTCTGTGGTTGTTAACCACTTTCTTTTAGGACTTCTATTCACTGTATTCAATTGGTACCTTGAACTTGCCCTTCCTTTCCATCTCCACTGATTCTGCACTATATTTTTATCAATTTATGAGTCAATTAGTCAAAAGCCTAATTGGTTTTCATTCTTCTAGCACCTCTTCTTGCCAATGCAGAGTTGGCAGTTACAAGATTTACTCTCCTAAATGCACACAGCTAACTGTGCTTAATGCAGGATAAAATTGATTCTCTTCCCAACCAGAACACAAGTAATTTTTCCAACTATGTAGTACAATGCCCCACAATACTCCACAGATGTCCTGTGTACTTAATCATTTCCTGCCTCAGTTTGCTCTAGCGATGCCATAGAATTTCTTTGTTTGGTTGTCTCTTTCTCTTCCGACAATTGTTATTCTATTTTTAAGGTCTAGTTCAAAGGTTCGACTTTTGAGACTTCTTTTGTTAATCTGAGGGACAAATTCTACACTCTGGACAACATACCTCCTTAACATTTGTTTATGTCCTAGCCAACTGTGCATGCCTCTGTTTCCACCATAAGCCTATGCATTCCTTTAAAGTAGTGACAAGTTCTGTTTTATTTTTGTATCTACAGCACCTGGCACTCAGTAAGAGTTCAATAAACACACGTTATTGCTTATCTTTGCCTTATATATATCACACAAACACACATATACAAGACTGAATTTGACCTTTTGGTTACTTGTCACTTTTAAACAAGCGTATACTTCTTAGGTTTTTCTGCTGCTTTTGAGTTAATAAATAAAAGGGAAATGTTAACTTAATTCATAAAAACAGAATTGTAACTTTTGGGGGGAAAACATTATGGATTATTATTTCAGCCAGCTTCTCCATCTCCAGAAGACCTCTTAGCTACAGATGGGTCTTAACTGCTCTTTAAATACATTTAACATGTATGCTTCAACAATAGCACTTCCATTGTTTCATTACCCAAGTTTTATCAATTTTACCAAGAATTCTCACTACTGTTTATCACGGGAAAGTATAAAAATCAGTAGTTTGTTCATGAGCAGACATATGCAAGTGCCAAGTTCAAATATTTGCCTTTTCAAGAAAAAAGAATAAACTGAAATATGATAGCTCATAAATAAAACTCACGTTGGTGAACAGAGTAGCCATTATCAAAATATGGAAACTTATACCCACTGGGAGAGTGTATGGAGGCTCCTCCCTGCCCAGGGAAATGTTTAGTTATGTACTCCATTGTGCCAAGGACAAACTGGCCCTTTCCAGACACTTACCCTCTGACAGCATGAATAAGTCTCAATGATGGATAGGCAGTTCGCACTCTTAGTTTATTCTTAAGGATTAATGCATTAACCCACTCCACGTGCTTCTCTCCTCCTTTGACCATGAAAGCAGGGATCCAAAGGACACTGTCATTCAGCATGGAAAGTCTGTGCACAAATTTTTCTCTGTCACTCTCATTCCGAAAGCCTCCAAATGCTCTTTGCACAACTGATGGATTCATGGTAATAAAATCTGATTTAGTTCCCACATCTGCAGCAAACTCCACCACAGGGGCTAGATTACACCTGAAGAGGAAAAAAATTAATGGAAAAGTGAGAAATATGAAACATTTACTCCTAAAATAGTATGCATGGAGAGAAGAATGAGAAACGAGCATAGTTTTTATTTTAACGAGGTAAAAAAAATAATCCGGTAAAATTACATTTTCAATAAAACACTACGCATCAGGAATTTTCTTCAATAAAGATGTGCACTCCCAGGGTAAGGCTCAAATTGTCACTTACATTAATTCAGCCTGCTGTCTAAGAATACCCTTTGCTGTAATTATCATAAAATCATATGATATGAATTCCTAATAGGTGAATTTATGACAGTAAGTTTGGCTGTCGCCATGCAGGTGGGAAACCTAACACATGGTATTCTATACATAAGTAAAAACTGATATCCCAATCTGCACCACTTGTCAATCTTAAGTCATTTCAACTACTTTAGAAACATAAGTGACGATGTCTTTTCTGTAATCTGAAAACTGTATATTCCTTAAAGCATTTTTCATAAACATATCTATAATTGATTTTAGGGACCTAAATGGGAAATAAAAGTAAGAAAAATGGAGTTCTCATATTTAATATGCATTTTTTGAGATGTTAAATGATGCAGAAAGCCCTGGTTTAGAGTCAAATACCTTCCTGTTTCTCTGAAGACATACTCAAAATGCTTGTTTTCCCTGCTAATAGGAGACTTGCCTTCTGTCGGGAAGGACAGAATTGGCTGACCTGTTCTCACATCCGAGTTCTAGGATATTGCAAAGTGCCTGTTTCTGGTTCTGTTCTTGTATACTGATTTCACTCTTGTATTTCAAACTTAGGAAAGTACCTTGAACTTGGTCTTCAACCAATTTGTGATGTTATTTTGTTTCTGTGACATAGATCTTTGGCTACTTGAAAATATTATTTTACTTTAAAGTACTTTAACTTGCTAGGAAAGGTAAATTTTAATTAGTTGATTAGTGAAAAATTAGATGTTTAGCAAACAAAATTTTGCTAATTTGGAAAAAAATAATTTGAATCTATTTAATGTACACCTTCAAAAGACACACAAGCATACACACACACACAGACATACAGAATTCTCCTTCTTTTCTTTTTTTCTCCTTATATCAGCCTTTCAAGGGAAGGAAAAATAGAATGATTTCCTCTTACTGCATTTTACAGATTTGATTGCATTATGAAAATTTCTCACATTTCTCTTTTTTATGCATTTAGCCATATTCATTAAATTCTTAAGCCAGATAAATTTAATTAAAAAGTAAAGTGTGTGCTCTGCTATTAAAAATACTGGTGTATGTATCCTTTCTTATCTCTTTTAATTAATATGCATTATTACTTCTTAGATCTCTAAAAATATTTAGCTATCACAACAAATATCTTTCATCTTATAGAATTAAGCAGTCTGTTATCAAAGATGAGCTACTGAGATAAAACAAATAAAATTTGATACATCATATTATTTAGAAACTAGAGGCCCGGTTCATGAAATTTGTGCACGGGGGAGGGGTTCCCCCTCAGCCCAGCCTGCACCCTCTCCAATCTGGGACTGCTGGCTCCTAACTGTTCACTTGCCTGCCTGCCAGATTGCCCTCAACTGCTCCCCTTCTGCTGGCCTGGTCACCCCAAACTTCCCTTCTCTGCCAGTTTGGTCACCCCTAACTGTCCCACTGCAGCCTGGTTGTCCCCAACGGGCGCCTTCCCCTCCCCCCGCCGACCTACTTGCTCCACATAGCCTGTATTCAGTCATCTGTCTGGTTGTTTCAGTTGTGATGGACTCTGGCTTTTTATATATTAGGATACTATTTCCAAGTTATGCATATTTACATACACCCACTAAATATGAGAGGGTATTTTTGTCTCTATCCATGAGCCACACACTCTTTGATATTAGACACTATTAATTCCCACCACAGTCAGAATATCATGGATGGGACTGCCCTAGAAAAGAATAGCCACGTGTGAACAGAAACCAAAGTGAGCACATGGCAATGGAACTCGTGGAAGACTGAGGATGTGGTGAATTTTGAGGTCCTATTAAAATGTACTCCACTCCAGCCTTAAAAATAATCTAAAATTCTAAGTAAGCAGATTATAAGATGAACTTAGATACTGTGGGGAAAATGTGTAATTATTATCTTTATTACAGACATTTTTTCTTCTACAGATAAAAAATAGGCAATGTTAATATTACAGTTAACATGTTCCAGTCAGGTGAGATAGCATCAAATATTCTTTTTGCTATAACAATTCCTCAGCAATTCTTTTCAGAGGATTCCCACTATAGAAAAACAATATCTATGCTTCACTTTCTCTACACTTATAAAAATTATCCAAGCCAACCCAGTTAAAGAGAACACTCACACACACACAAAAAAAACATTCAACTGAATTATCTTCTCAGGGAAAAAAATCACTTAATTACTTTATGCTTTTCTTTACTTTTCCTTATCACATATTTAAAAGCTAGTCCACCTCCAAGTTTCCTAACACCCACTTTTTAAGAATTGACTCAGCATGTTTCTAAAACATGATTATCTGGTCATGTATAATTTCAGAGCTAGAAAGACATTCATCCATAAAGTTGGATATTGAAAAACAGGTACTTTCCACCTTGGAAGTAAAAGGAAACTAACAGAAGAACATTTCTGGAGAATAGGGTTGACCCAGTAGACAAAACAACATAGCTGATGCAATCAAGGAATGCTAAATGACTGTGGTGCTAACTGAAGGGAACAAAGAGATCGAAGAGTAATTAATCCACATGAGTTTTATTGTTAAGTTTTTATGACTTAAGTACAGCCCAACCAGGCTTTGCGAGGGATGGAAATAGCATGACAGAAGGACACATAGTAAAATACTATCTATGCTGGCTCCAGGAGTTCAGCTGGTTCATTTTCCTTGGGGTGACTATGTCTAATTTTTCATTGGAAGGAAAGATTAACATCCTGCTCACATGTGACCAATAAATTAACTACTCTGTGGTTGAGTCAGATATTTAGTCATATATTTAGCTGAATGCTACATAATCAGGGCAAGCATTAAGCAAGTCAGAATAAGCAACCAGCTGTGTTGTACTCCAGCAATTCAATAGACTTTTTGCAAACTACATAGCAATACTAGTAGCAATACTGCTGATTGAGCAAGATTATGAATAGATTCCCAATCACATGTACTTCATCTTCTTTTCTTTAAATCTTCTTAGGGATCACAATATTCAAAAGTACCCCGAATGTGTTGCAAGCATTTATGAAGTAACACATTATTTTAGATGTTATTCTTAATCTCAGTAAATTGAAGAGTGGACAACTTATAAATGATGGATTTTGTGAGTCAAAATTACTAAGAGCATAAGAATATTTAATATAGTTAAGCTCAATTTCTTTAGCCAAATTAAATTTTAACTGTCCAACTAGTTTTGACATATTAAAAATCTGAAGATATATATGTATTATCCAAACTCCCTGTTTACTTTAAGCTGCCTAAAATATTCTCTATTTATTTAGGTTTATTTACCATCATAACTAAAAATGCTAAAGAAATGCAGCTAGGTCCTCTTATTCTCTATAATTTCTTCGATAATCTCAGACTAAGTGTGATTGCCTTTCAACATTCCTTCTATGCAGAACTGAAGGTGCTTTTATTTCAAGGCTATGTAATTTTTAACGTTCATTTTAACATTAATTCATTTAATTTTTAAGGAAAGAAATGCGAATTTCATATATAATACCTCAAGATCACAGAATTCCCTAGGAAGACATATCTTTTAGATCTGATAGTCCCTACATTCTCCTTGTTTTATAGTTCAACAGTTTAAGCAGCTGAGAAGTTCTCTCAATAGCTCAACAGTTCTCTTGAGAGTACATTCCAAAAATACTACACCATATGTTCAGAACTCTTCCAGCTATCTTAATATTTAATAGTAATTTTTTACAAAGGCCAAAATACAATATTTTTTTTCTATTATCAGTAATACCAGTAAGATAATTCTCATTGATTTAGCCATATCTTTAATCATGCCATGGTGCATCCTATACATTTGTGCTACCTACAGGCCACGTCATCCACAACACTGAGGTAAAAGAGCATGCACTGTGATATAGAAGGTTTTTAGTTACTTTCTTACACATATAACATAGATTAAGTGAGAAGGAAATAAAATTGAGTGCATTGAAGAATAAATTCTATTCTTCTTCACTACTAGTTAATGTACAGACAAGTTCCAAACACATGATTAGCATCATTTTTCTCCTTTGACCAACTCCACTGTGTGTGTCTGTGTACTAGCATTAAAATCCCTTAGCCCAAACCATGGTAACCAATGGAACCACATTTGTCAACAAACCATGAAAAGAGAGTTAGCCTCTTTTCTTTTCTGCTTCCAGAGGAAGCTTATGGTTCCTATATACTTTGAGCTTGAAGAACCAAGAGAATAAATACTCTCTGCTACCTGGGTGTTTTAGGTTTTGTGGCTATCCTCTCAAAATTGCTAGAACATGCAATCTATCCGTCTTTCTAACTTTCTTAAGGTGAGGGTATTAGGCTTCTAATTGACTTGAAACCAATACTTTTTGCAACACTTTCAGGTAAGTAGTATTAACTCCACTTTGAAGATGAGAAAGTAAGGTCAAAGTCATTTAGAAATATGTCCTAGGCCATAGTACATATAAAAGAAAAAGCACAGCCACTTTAGAATCACTCCAGGACAGAAGTTCTAAATGACATAATTTACATGTGTGATTTCTTTCAGAGTCAGAGGAAATGTTTATATGTTCATCATTCACCCTAATTTCCTGTAGGAGAAAGAGTTCTCTACCATTTAGTTTCAGATTCCAGTCTCAGACTCCTAGGACTTAAGCATATTATATAAAGCTACTCAGCCATAAACACTCCCCAAATCCTGCGCAGTTATTAAACAAGGGGCTTTAATTATATTAAATATGAAAATAATATTCATACTTCAGATCTCTTGAGGAAAATTTTTCAAAATGCCGTTAGAAGGATTACCTATTTAATTT